ATATATATATATATATATCATCAATATAATAATTAGATATTAATGATGGTAAATAACATTTATTGATTTGTACTTTAAAATTTGTATTAATACATGTTTAAGTCTCAAAATATATATCCACAATTTTATAAATGTGGAATTATTACATTTTTTAATTAACTAAATGATAATTATATCATTGATAATTGAAAAATTAATAAAATGACGACACTCTACGTAGGGGCACACAGACACATATGTATTTACATCATTTTTATGTTTTTAAGGAAAAAAATGTAAAAGGATAAATATTACCCTTGACTTAACGGAGCAACAGTTAATGAAGTTAGAACAAGGAACCCCATCCCTAACAAATATAAAACCACAATAACTATAGATATAGCTATTTGTTTAGGGGCCCAATTCATAATTCACATATAACCACAGGGACTAAATCTGTAATTTTTATTACTTTATTAATTGGTATATGTTTTGCTGGCCCATAAAAGGTGTAACTCATTCTAATTTACATTGTTTTATATAAAAAGCCACAGCATCTTATTATTATATTATTTTATATAAATATCTTATCCTTCAAAATATTTTACTAATAATAATAACTTTAACATAATTTTGTATATCAAAATAAATAATTTTAACTTAGAATTTTAATTATATAAAAAATATAATATCTTTTTTCAGTCTCAGATAAAATATAATAAGTCTACATGGTTTACAAAATTTATAGTTTTAAAAATTAAATTAAAAGGTGTTTGGGATTGCTTATTTAAAATAACTTTTTTTTTTGTAAAAGTGTTTATTAACTTTTGTGATATCAAACCGGAGTTAAATAAAATAGAGTTAAAATTGTAAACTGATAATAATCAGTTTTTCATAAGTCATGAATAATTAACTTATCAAAAACAGCTTATTACCGGTTTGACACCGATATAAGCAGTTTTTTTTTCTTATCCAAACACCAGAAAACAGCTTATCACMGRTGTCAGACTGAAATAAATTAAAAAACAACTTTTATAAACAATCCCAAACACCCCCTAAATTAATAAAATTTATATTTTAATATTTTTAGCTTCAATTATAAATACACTATTATTTATCATTAAAATAATTTGTCATATATAATAATTTATTTTGAATATTTATTACTAAAATGTTCCATCATTCAAAGTATTACAGGAGTGTTTGTGATTGCTTATTTGAAACAAACTTATGTTTTTTTTTTACAAAAACACTCGTCAACTTATCATAAGTTAGAAGAGTTTAACTTCTTCAAAAACTCTCTATTACCGGTTTGACACCGGTATAACTTGTTTATCCAAACACTCAAAAATACTTATTACCGGTGTCACTCATTTATGTCATAATAAAAATGAACATTTTTCATATCCGTTTTATCGAGAATAAATTAGTACATGACTTGTAGAATCATAAAAGAATCAAAAAGGAAGTTTTCAAAAAAGAAATACCATCTAGACACCGATTATTTTGCATCTAATAGACATAAAAGGTGAATAATTGTTTGTTATTTCAAACGTAAATAGTCATTTGGGAGACTTCTTTTCTACAAGAACTTCTCTAAGCCGTACACCAGATTCTGCAGATCCAGAAAATAGAACCTTCAGAACTAAAACCAATAATTTTATAAAATATCCGACGATACATCAGTTCTCAAGGTTATCATAATTTTTTGGGTTCTCAAATAATTAAGCACTTACCTTAAGTCGCACAACTTGCCTGACTGCTAGAATAAGTCCCGGCATGAGACACTGGACGTCCGTGATATCATGTTTGATAGAATAGACCTGTGGTAAACACATCCTTTAACAACTTTTTCTGAAAAAAAAAAACACACACAAGTTGCAAAAAATACCTCTCCTGGCCCCGAAAAATGAACGGTTGTACTAGATACGAGTCCGGGAAGAACTAAACTATGCACGCGAACCCCATCTTCTCCTAGTCGTTGTCCTCGTGCCTGACACAAAAACTATCTTACGTTACGCTTTGAATCGTCAAACATCCAACATTTAACATTTGTTTAGTTTCCATCTTACGGGAACATCTGTTTCCAGATCATCTCGATTATAGAGTTGTCCGAGGTTGGATAGGTTGTCGGCAATTTGTGCAGATTCTTGCGACGGGAATGCCTGTCCATTGCCAATGATGTCAGTTAAACCAAACTCGTCTGATATATCCCACTTGAAAGTAAGGGTTAGATGGTGAGATCTAAAAATGCACAAAAAAGCTCAAGTCTAAAGTTGTCCCCAGCCCGACCTTAAACCCTGTTCAGCCAAAAAAAAATTCAAGCTGACCTGGAAAAACCTGATTGGGCACTCCTTTTAACCCAAAGTATGCCCCAAAAAGCCGAACTTTTTTATTTATTAAAAAAGGGGTTTGGAACGCGGATACCTAGGCCTTTGTGCATCTCTAGCTAGGATGTATGCAAATCTGTCCGCTACCTCATGAGAGTAGAGCGACTGGTTTTGTAAACATCCTTGGATGTTAGTTTTGAATGATTTCGACTTACTCCCGCGTTATCTTTAGATTCAACAATCTCGACATGGTTATAGTGAAAAGCAGCTGAAATTGCCGCTTGTTGGAGTAGGATCGATCCTATCGACAAAGTTGGTGCAACCAAACATCCCTGAAAACAAAATCGCAAAACATTTTTTCGTTATTCAACCCAAAATCAAGTCGTGAAACGGGTAGCTTATGACCGTTTTCAAGTATTAGTATCGACCTATTGTCAGTTGATTCAAAGTGGATTTTACGGAGTTCAAAAAGTAAACAAATTTTGGAGCGTAACATCTCACCCTGTGCTCACCATGCTGGCTTTATCGCAGAAGGCCGATAATGCTGCTATGGTTTCGGGCTTGATTCGTGGCACGTAGACCACACTATTCATGCCAAATGCCGTTGCCTGTTAACCTCAAAACGACACAATAAAACATAAATATCCGCACCCATCCGGACGCAATCATCAATATTTTACTCTCCATGTCCTAAAATAAGTGCAAATTCTACCCTTAACTATGAGATGGATTAGAAAATTCTAAAACTCTGTGTGTTTTTTCGTAGTTAACTGTTATTTTGGAACGGAAGGAGTAGTAAATTGTAATTTAAGATTCAAAGAAACATCGTACCTGTTTGATGTTATCGTAAACGGTAGAGGGTTCGGTAAAATCGACTACAACTGATGTTGCTTTTGACTACAAACATTCAAAAAAAAAACTTCATTTAGAATGATAAACTATGGTTGCTAATTCACATTTAGGAGAGAAACTACAGGTTTTGAATGTTTGAAGGGTGAATATATATATATATATATATATATATATATATATATACCTGAGATATGGAACCTAATACCATGGTGAGATCACTGATTATGGGTATCTCTAGAGCTTCTTCCATGCCACACACCTTAAAACACAAACTCAAATTTGTTACAAACACCACCCAAATAAACCAAAAAGGAGAGAGCTAAATTAAATAATTAATAGGGGTGTTTACGGTGTGGTGCACAAAATCGTACTGCACTATGCGGGAATTATAACAATAAATTTGACGATAAAAACTCTGAATATGTAACAAATACATGATTACGGCTTAATATCTCTAACAATAAAAACCAAACAATTTCTTTTATTTTCATGCCCATTTTGATTACTGTTTAACAGCTTTTAGCACATAAAAGCACACACACTGAAAGAGACCTTTCCGATGTCTTCTCCGACGAGATGTGAATCAACAGCTCCGGCCACCTCCATTCCTCTGGCTTTTGTGACTGCCATTACAGCCGCCATTCCAATTTCCTTGGCTGCTCCATTGATCACCACCTGTCCTTCATTAATCAGACTGAATTCATTCATTCATTCATTCATTTCACTAGTGTGTGTGTGTATATATATGTATATATATAATAACCTTAATGTTGTTTTGAGGAGGTTGCTGCTGCATTGAGCAAGAGATTTGGTAACGAAAAGTGTTGTAGTTTGTGGGATGCATTTGAATGGCCATTGTTGCTTCTCTGTGAAACAAGTGGTTTTGGATGTGCTTCTATGTTCCCATTTCATGTCAGAGATAAGGTTTTCAGTTTCTTGCCTTTCAAAAGCAAAATTAGATGTAAATAGTAATACTCTACACTTTACACTAAACTACTTTTTTCCTCTCTTTCATTTATCCTTATATTTTTAAATTAAGGTTTTTTTTTCTCTATGCTTTTCAATTTATTGTTTTTCTTTTGTTTTTATAATTTATAATTTATTATTGTCGATGACAAATCTAGAATTTTCACCGAATGAATGCATCTTTAAAGTGGATCAAAGGATCGCAAAGTCGTTCGATACGTTTTTAGCAGAATTTAACCTTTTGGAAGGATTTTTTTACCTTTTGGATGATTTCAAGAAACTTTTCGGTTTTTTATTTGATTTTTGAAGACTTTTTTTCTTCATTTTTTGGTTTGATATTTCTTGTATTTTCTAATATCTTGGAACATCCCTCAAATTTTAACTGGTACATCTTTCATACCCAAAAAAATCTACATGTGAAAATATGTTGAACGGGTGTAGGGACCTCGCTTGAGGCTTCATAGGTCTATCCGTCATTATTGTTTTTATTTTAAAGATTACAATCCATTGTTGTTTTCGTTTTTATGGTTTACAACTAATTGTGGTTTTCGTCTGTTATGCTTAAAAGTAAGTCGTTGGCAAAGATGGTCTCAAACAGTGCTGTTCATGAGGTTTTTTATGCCCTGTGCAAAGATACTAAAAAATGCCCTATGCCTATTTTTTAAGCAAATGAAACAATGAAAGATACGATTTTACTAAAGAGTTTGGAACCTAATCAAACTAAGTAACTCAACCATACGCCGAATTTTATTAATTAAAATGAAAAATACAAAGGGAGACATAAAACCCAAAACCCTAAATTACAATATATAAATATATCATCTAAAACGATGTTTTTGTGCACTTCTTGAAGCAAAAATGTCAATTACTTTTTCATATTCAACATTCGCTAAAAATTTACTTTCAATATTGAAAATTGCTAACTCGTTTAGCCTTTCTTGACTCATGTTAGACCGCAAATATACCTTCAATAACTTTAGCCTTGAAAAACTTTTTTCAGCAGATGCTACCGTGATGGGTATAGTCAGCAATATTCTATATGCAAGTAACACATTCGGAAACATATCCATCTTCTTTGTAAACTTCAAAATCTTAATTGATGTCCATGGCTTTTCTCCTTTATATGCTTCCGACAGTAACATTTCCTGCAAAATTTGCAATTCCATAAGCAAATACTTCTCATCAATATCGCAATCATCACCATTTGTTAATGCAACTTCAAGATTTATACAACAATTTTTCAACTCATCATCATTTAAATAACAAACCTCATGTCGTTTTCTGTTTAAGCCCAACTAATAATAAAAATGAACCCATAGTAATAAAACATATGACCAAAATCAAATGGACAAGCTCAAAAAAGTGAACTTGCCCAATTTTGTTTTGCTTTCTTCTTGATTTTTCCAGCCATTTTTGGTCGATTTCCAACCAGTTTTTCATGGGGCTTCTGAGATTATAATAAAGACAAGATAAATGTTGACATTTTGATACCAAAATCACTAGTAACCATGGACAAGTAAGCTTTAATTTCATCTTCTTATTTCTAATGTTTTTTTCCTAAGTTTCCACCATTACAATATTGGACAGCAAGTCAGCAAGTCAGTAGCCATTATCATAAAAGAGCTTGTATCAATTGGAAATACAATGAATACATAATGTCAAAATTAATCAATTAAACGTTACGATGTTAGAGTTTAGAAACAAAATCATACCTTGGTTTGAGAAACAATATAATCGATTTCCACAGTTTCACTTCCGGTTCTAGAATCAAGATTTGAAGAAATACAAATGCAATCGACTGTATCTAGATTTGAAGGATTGAGATTTGAGAAACAATGAAAGATTGAGATTGGAGAGTTTAATCGACAATCGTGTATTCGAGTATATAGAGTCGGGTAATCACAATGCATCGACTGATCATCAACATCAATCCATTGTCCCATGGACAGTCATTAGACTCGTTACCATTAATCGTCTTCCTCTAGAACTAGAACATCATCATCGAAAATCGAAAAAGTTGAACACTCAAAGAGCAATAGAAATCATCAATTTCAAACCGTCAAAGTCAATCGTCTTGTGAACTGTGATGCGTCTATTCTATTGTCACTGGTTCAAGTCCTTGAATTTGTTATTAACAGGCCTGGTCAGTTGGACCTCTGTTTATAATTAATGCCCAAGTCTCAAATTATTAAACCTCCAAACCCAAAACTAATACTATATAAAAATTTGATGTCCTGTGCGATCGTACGGGCTGCACGTGCCCAGGGTCGGGCCTGGCCTCAAAGACGCAACAACAATAAAATGTAAATCACATAGACAAAAACCATAATATCAAAATATAATGACAAAAATCGTAATTTTTGACAAATTACAAGGACTAAAATCATAATTTAGTCAAGGTTGTATGTTACCAAATTGGGCCATTGGCTCATATGGTGGAGGGCCATGAAGCATGGTCCATGGGGCACCTTTGGACTCCAGAGAGTATGAAGATGTGTCTCTACCAGTACCACACGTTGATTTCAGCCCCAAGAGGGTTCAGATGTTCAATGCTGATTTCACTATAAATATTTTTGGTAATTTTAATGACAGAATTTTATATATTATATTTTCTCCATCTCAAAATAGATATTTATGATTAAAAATTATATGGTTTTAATTTTTTTTAATTAAATCCTTATAATTAAATAAATGACAATTTTATTAATAAATATCTCCAACCGACAAAATAAAAAAGCAGACATTTATTTTAAAAAATATACATTTATTTCATGACATATAAAAATATTTATTTAAAAATATTTTTGACAATAATATTCAATTCTATATTTTAATGTAAGTATAAACAAGGAAGTTCAATCGAAATGATCAACTATAACTGACGGTAATTAATTTACTTATTTTTTAAATCTAAATATCAAATAATTAATTTTTCATCGAGTTCGATGGTTATTTATTTGATATGCAATTGTATACATTTGAAGCCCTACTTCTAAAAACCGGGACAAATCCGTAAATTAAATGTGAAGTTTAAATCTATAAAAGGGAAAGTACAGAGAACTAGTATAATAAATAAAAGGATTATAGTTAGCAACCTACTAATCTAATCCTAACAAGACTAGATTATGACCGGGTGTCACTAAATCCTCAAAAGTCTGTCTTTATCTCACGAGACGACCCAAAAATAACGTCACCCTGATGCTTCTAAACTGCACCAACGTTCTCAAACAACTCTAGATCCGCCACTAATGGGACCTGGTATACATGACATGTAAGAAAAGTGTTAGGCTTACGCCTAGTGAGTTCAAATAACTATAATTGAAATCAATAACCAAACATGCAGAAAGATGTAGATAGAACAATGGTACCCCGTAACAGGTACATTGGTATGTAGGGATAAAGTCTCCCAAAATAGCCAAACCTAACAAGTTATACACGTAACATCTTTTGATGATGAGGGAAATCCATTTCCATTAGATGTGGCGAGAACATTGGAGTATTGCCACGTTTCAATGTTTATTGGGATTACACTTTAGACTCCGTGACTATAAATGCACACCCAAAAAGTGGTATCACCTCAAGTCCTCAAGTACCTTTAGTGTCTACTCCTAAGAGTTCCACCTCAAGGTTAAGGAATCTTAGACTATTAGTTAGCTAAGTCTCACCTCAAGGCTCCCATTCGGCCTTTAGTTTCCACTTAATATGAATTTATATAGGAGTCAATATATCCTATTTGATAACACCAAACCTACAACCCTTATGTACAAGGGTGATAGTACCACAAACACTAAGCTTGAAATTTAACCATATAAAAGTAGTGGATAAATCTCCAAATTATCACTATAACAAAATCGGGTTTATAGGATATTTTTAATTTCTAAGCGTCCTAATAGACCTCTTTATAAGACTTAGTTTAGAGGACCAAAAAAACAAAGCGTCCTATCTAAAGGCGTTGTAATAAGTTTATATGACGTTTTCTTAATGTCGTAATAAGTTTTTTAGGACACTTTTAATATGAAGCGTCCCATTAGCAATTTTATAGGACACTATTTGAAAAAACGTCCTATAAAAACAAATTTCTTATAAAAAGTTGAGTTTATAGGACACTTTCTCAAAAGTGTCCTATAAAGTTGCTAATATGACACTTTGTATTAAAAATGTCCTAAAAAACTTGTTAAGACGCCCAAAAGCGTCATATAAACTCATTACAACACCTTTAGATATGACACTTTATATTTTGGTCCTATAAGTTAAGTCCTATAAAGCGGTCTACTAGAACGCTTAGAAATTTGAGATGTCCTATAAACCCAAATTTAATGTAGTGTATGAAGTAAGACATTTCATAAGTATCCACAATAACATTGTCCTTTTACATTTTATGCACAAGGTATAACATGAGTTATGCAAGTATATTTAAATCACCCATGTACAATGTGACACTTCATTCATGCCAAGTCCCTTTTGTGATAAATAGTTGAATGAGTTAAAGGAATGAAACCCTCTTTGATATAATGAAACAAAACCAATAAAGTCAAAGTTTTACCCAAAAAATGTCATATTACTATTTTAGGTAAAAATCATCATCTTCATGTAATATAGTTGGGCAATCATGAAATGAACTTGAAATGTGTAAGAAAATATAGTTTTAATATGTATATAAGAAGAGTAGGGTTAGAATAAAATCAGAAAGTAGGTTTTTGGTGAAAACATTAGGAACCAAGCAAGAACCCTAGAATAGGGATGGCAAGAAAGAAACCGAAACCGATGGTGAAAACTGAAAACCAAACCTTTTGGGTCAGGTTCGAGGACATCTTATCAGGGACGGGGCGGGGGTCGGGGACATATTCAGGGATTTTAATGGGATCGGGGACGGTGATCACTGGCGCGGCCCGACCCGATATGTGTATATATATTAACTTTAATATATATATATATATATATATATCATT